GTATTTATGGATTTTTATTTTTATTTCATTTATTTATGCACAATTAATGAGTGTATAATTGGAGAGTTTTAATTTTAAATAAATAAAACTTTTTCAGCAGAACTCTAAATTGACATCTCAGAATTAAGAACTTTCCCCCACACTCTGAATTTAGAATTTTATTTAATGGAATTTCAAGCTTATATTTCACAATTTAAATGTATTTATCTATTATTTATGGATTTTTTTTTTTATTTCTTAATGAGTTTTTCCTAATTAATTATTTGAAAAGAGTCATGGAATAATAGAATTAGTTATAATTCTAAATTTACATCTCATAATTCACATATTTCTTTCACACAAATTTGGTTTTTTTTTCACACAAATTGTATTTTTTCTGTCTTTTTATTTGAATTATGTATAAAACAGCCCCGTATAGTACAAAAGTCCTTCCAAAATGTGACTAAAATCGGAAATACTCCACGTCTTAATTGGATTAGTTTAATTGGATTTGATTAAGATCATCAAAAGTCTGTTTACATGGTAGATTCATAAGCTAAATGTAGTGTTGATGGTGTCTATTGGAATATTGTTATTCATGTAAATGTCATGGATGAGTGAGAGTCAGGCTGATACAATCTGACATTTGTACTCGCGACTGTCACTTCAGATGATGTTGAAAATATGTGCGGGTTAATGAAGCACCTGTGCTGTTCACCACACCCTCTCTTACCCTGTGTGTGCGTGCTTGCATGTGACTAAACCATGAGCCACGCAGCTGCATCTGTGCTTCAGTCACAACAGCAGACGCTCAATAAAAGGTTGTGCAGTGCTAGAATGTGAAATCATGTGTTTTGCCTGCTCATTGCTTACGTTACTGATGGTTTTGGTCGCTGTAAGGATGATAATAGTTTTATTTTTAGGACTCAAGGATATTCATTAGTTTTTTTTTACTGCAGTTTTAGGTTGTTAATGGTGAAGTGTTTCAAAAGTTTTGCCATTATTGTGTATTTGAGGTTTTAAGTTGATGGTAAATAAAAATGTAAATGTTAGATGTAAACTGAAGATTGCAAAAAAATAAAGTAAAACTGACTTAAGCTTAGAATTCTGATGCAAAAATGGTGAAATGGAATATATTTGAGTTGGCATGGGGGCTCAGTGGTTAGCACTGTTTAGAGCAGGAAGGTCACTGGTTCGAATCCCGGCTGGGCCAGTTGGCATTTCTGTGTGGAGTTTGCATGTTCTCCCCATGTTGGCATGGGTTTCCTTCGAGTGCTTCGGTTTCCCCCACAGTCCAAACACATGCACTATAGTAGAATATGATGAACTAAACTGGCCGTATGAATGTGTGTGTGAATGAGGGTGAATGGGTGTTTCCCATTACTGGATTGCAGCTGGAAGGGCATACGTGAAACATATTCTGGAATAGTTTTTTGCTCTTTTTTTTTTTTTTCCACCGTTGTAATTCTCAAAGTTTTCATCTCACAATTTTTTTATTTTTCCATTAAAAATTTAAAGTTTTATTCTCTTTTTCTTTTTCTTTTGTTTTTTACGTCAAACAATTTTTTTCCCTCATCAAATTTTCAAGTTTTCACTTCACTGTTTTTAGTTTTCCATTGCATTTCCAAGTTTAAATGTGTTTTCCTGTGATTATGAGGTAATGTTTTTAAATGTACATTTTGTTTTTATTTTCACATCTTAGAATTCCCTGAGGAAAACATCTTAATCTGCAAGTTTGACTTTTGTTTTTTCTTAATCCTGAATACGTCCTAATTTTTAACTGTCACTTAAATTTAGAGTCTTACTATGGAATAAAATTGCTGTCATAAATATTTTGTGAGTAAATAAAATTCATGCATCTGTACTTATAAAATCATAAAAGAAAATGGAGGCATACTCATAATTTTATGAGGGTCAATTCCAAAATCTGCAATTAGAACAGACACAGATACGACATTTTCTTTGTCTGTTCGTATATGACTGATGAATTTACGATGGATGTACTTTACAAACACGAAATACAGTTTCACCACGGACATGAAGACCTGATTATGAGTATGAATCAAACAGCGACGATCCACTGTCAAAATTACGTCAGGCATTAATAAACAAGCGAGAGCCATCGATCACAACGGTGCGCTTGCTGGGCACTCGAGCTTCCCCACACCGTCTCAAGTAAGAGTTCTGTTATTCCCTCTTTGAGAAATGTCCGTCATGAGCTGTAATAAAGGTTGAGACTCGATGAGGTCCACTTTCCCTGTTTCTTGGATATTTTACAGAATCAAAATTAAGAATAGGCCAAGGATAACGAGCTAGCATAATGTAAGTTAACAGTACAGGCAGCGAATGTAGAGTTTCTCAGTGAATCGATGTTAAAATTTTATAATTGCAAAATATTTATGCCCGTGATTTAATTCCATATCTTTCTAAAAAAAATTAAAAATCTAAAAGTGTTTTTTTTTTCTTTCTCGGATTTGAGTTGACATCTTACAATTTTCATTTCACATTTTTTTTTTTTTCTTCTCTGAATTCCAAGTTTACGACAATTTTGATGTTTACCTTTGAATCCTGGAATTACATCTTGCAATCCTATCTTTATTTCCCATCAGAATTCCAAAAAAAAGGCCCAAATTTTGACTTGTAAACTAAGTCTCAATGTTTCACAATTTTCATCATGTTTTTTTTTTCTTAGTTTGACTGACTTTTCCCCTCTGAATTCCAAGTTTACGACACAATTTTACATTTGAATTCTGGAATTATTACAGCTTGCAGTTCTAACCATATTTCCCATCAGAATTTGTCTAAATTTTGACATGTAAACTAAGAACTCGAATGTTTCACAATGTTTTCACAATTGTTAAAAAGGTGCTTGCAGATCGACACTTTCTTTAACCATATGCTGGATTTCGAGTTTCTTAATTATGAAGATTTTGTGTACATTTCGAAATAATGATGATCTCATGCAATGTATAAAATACGAGTTTACCTTGTTTATGCTAGTTTCTTTACAGCTAAAAGAAATGGACTATAGTTCTGTATCTATTAGATGTGAATGTCATTTTTTTTGCATTTAATCTTGCACAGATTCCATGTTAAAAGTTGTTCATAGTATATATTGCATACAGGGTATCCGCAGGGTCTTAAAAAATCTTTAATGTCAAAATTGTAGGACTTAAAAAGTCTTAAATCTACTGAAATGTTGTGTTGTAGGTCTTACTTTTTTAAAACAGTTCTTAATTTTCCATTGTTCATGTATTGCTATCCAATCTGGCCCAAACCCATACAATCACCAACAATTCATCTCAATAAAACTTTAACTTTTATTTAAAAAGGTAATTGTAACTATTTACCATAATGGTTTATTTATTTTTCTTACAATAACATTTGTAATGCATACGTGTTTACTGCTGAGGGCACTGATCTGGACAGATCGTTGTGCATAGATTTAGAGTTTTTAAAACCTAGTGTAACCCTTATGTACTGTTGGGGATGTTTTCATCCACTTAATTTGGCCATGGCGAGGCAGTGGCGCAGTAGGTAGTGCTGTCGCCTCACTGCAAGAACGTCGCTGGTTCGAACCTCGGCTCAGTTGGCATTTCTGTGTGTGTGGAGTTTGTATGCTCTCCCTGCCTCCGCGTGGGTTTCCTCCAGGTGCTCCGGTTTCCCCCACAGTCCAAAGACATGCGGTACAGGTGAATTGGGTAGGCTAAATTGTCTGTAGTGTATGAGTGTGTGTGTGTGTGAATGTTTGTGTGGATGTTTCCCAGAGATGGGTTGCGGCTGGAAGGGCATCCGCTCCGTAAAAACTTGCTGGATAAGTTGGCGGTTCGTTCCGCTGTGGCGACCCCGGATTAATAAAGGGACTAAGCCGACAAGAAAATGAATGAATGAATGAATAATTTGGCCTTAACTTTCTCTGTGCTAGCAGAATGAATTTTGTTGACATTTTATTTTGACACACATTATGTGAAAATGCTTTGAATATAAAAAACAACAATATACTGCTGTAAAACTGCTACAGATTAATATTTATCATTAAATAGATTAAATATTTTATAAATCTGTTAATCAACCTCAGTCCAGATCCAAACTACTAAATTTAGAAAATTACAGGATTTTTACTTTTTAATTGCCAAACTCACAAATGATTTCACTGATTTGTTGGGAAAAAAACACAAAAAAAAAACTTATTTTTAATAGAAATAAATAACAGTAATTATTTTTTACCTTTTATCAAAGTCTTGGACATGTGAAACAACATTGCCTTTGATTCTTTGCTTTTTAAATTTTTTTTTCTTTCTAATTTATTGTTGGTGGCTGTTGTTGCTCCATGCATTGACTTCCATTTTAGCCATGTTTTTTTTTCATTACAAAACCATGACACCATATAATCATGCACTTTTATTGTTTTCTCTGTTGGGAAGAAGAACAATTTGTAATTTTTACTGTTGATCATCAGTTGGCATCAATAACCGTTTAGATAGGCCTGTGGAAAAAAAAAAGGTTCAAAGCTCAATTTCTGGATTTTACATTGAGTACAACAGCAAATTAAAGTGTGTCTGTGAGTGAATTTTGATCAGGACTGAGGTTGATTAACAGATTTATGCAAAAAATATATATAAAGAGATATTAATCTGATGCATTTTTACAGCAGTTTAATTAGTGGATGTTTTCATCCTAAGCATAACCAAGGGGTAGTACATTTGAACAGTGCAAAACGGGTTAAAGAAAGTTTATGTTGGGAAAAATATCTAAAATATTTAAATTTTTCATTAAATTATTATTGTATTATATATATTTTTTTTAATAGTGCAAATAAAAATCTTTTCTATCTGGGCCATTAGAAAAATTCCTTAGTGTTTAGCTCTTTTTGAGTCTAAACTTTTATACATAATGGTCTTAAAAATGACTTAAATTTAACTAGCAGCAACCTTGTGTATAACGTTCCAACAAGATATGGGTTGAAATCATTTAACTTTCCTTTAATAGACAGCAACATCATATAACCACACAACAAAAGCAACTTATCAAATATTTTAATCAGGCTCAGTTTGCAACCTCTTACAATTTGTTAAAATATTACAAAAAACATTTACAAAAAAAAAATAACCACTCAAACCTTGACCAAAAAAAAAACCTTTTTAATTTCAAAAAAAAAGAAAGAAAAACAAAACTTTGACATAAATAAGTTAGTTTTAAACTTCTCAGTGTTTTTACAAAGTTATGTACACAGGTACATTTCTCAAAAGTACACAAATACACAGGCAGTGTAAAAATCGCTCAATATTAATATTTACTTTATAAATACAGTTATGCATCACGTTTCACCACAGATTTGTCGAGTGTTTTAGATGCATATAATTGGTGGCACGACCCACTTTTGTGATGAAACAAACCCAAAATAAAAAAATTCAAAAATCAAGGGCCATCGAGTCAAACCAGAAAATATTCAGTAGAAGAAAAAAAAACTCACGCAAAAATTACAGATGATCAAGAAAACTTCTTACAGAAATAATTTAAGAGGGCGCGAGACGCTCCATGGAAGTGCCTGATAGTAATACTGGTCGATGCTACAAGGTTTGACCTCAGAGTTTGAGATTTTAACAATTAAAACAGACTGAGATGTTCACATCCAAAACAAAAACGGTGCTTTTTTATGTGTACCAAATATAAATTTACTACACAACCAATATGCAAATTAAATGCAACACAAACAATAATGAACAGCATTTTGGAAATAATCTACACACGGCAACAACGGTGGCTCTTCAAGTCAAACCAAAATCACACCTCCAAAAATAAAACAATATACTTTTTTTTTTTTAATCTTTCATTTTTACAACATAATACTAATTATGTGCTACATAAGGGAAAAAGGAAACAATGTATATACACAGGTAGTAAGAAAACAAAATATATGAGCAAAAAAGGAAATTCAACCTAATTGCACACTGCTACATTAACTGCTCTCAGAGGCAGTTGCTTTATTGTTGAGTGCCAGAAGTTTTTAGTGTTTCTGATTCAGTGCTTGAACACACTCGTAGAGTTGATATGTCTCTTTATTCCCCCTCCTCGCTCCTCTGTTTTTCAGACGCCCAAACAAAATATATAGAAAAATCAGCCACCAGGCACTGAGGTCATCGAAGCGACGACAATGACGACATCTTCAGGCCTGTCGGGAAACATTACAGAGAATTAGTAAGTGTTAAATGCAAGATATAAACACCACATAGAAAAAGATTACTTAGACATTTGGTTTTAAATGTAAAATTGACAGATATTTTAGAGTACATTAATCTTTTTTTAACTATAGTTAGAATTTTTGTTGCATGCTTCAGCATTTTTGGTTATTTTTTTTTTTTTAAAGGAGCCACTTAACTTTAAGTGAAAATACAGACCAAAAGAAAAGTTATTTCTTGGCACACTGTAAACAATACTGAATTCCACAAATTTCCGTCATATTGTCCCAAAACGTTACCTTAATTGTTTTTTTCTAAATTTAACTGGATTGAACATAAAACAATTAAGTTGTCCCTCAAAAAACCCTTAAGAATTGTGTTGTATCAACTCAAAAGAAGTCGTTTAAACAAAAGTAGCAAAAGTCATTTTTTGAGAGCAACTAGCCCAAATGAAACTTTCACAAATATATAATTGTATTTCTTGTTGTTTGTTTTATGTAGCATATAAACATTTACCTTGATTAACTACAATAATTCACAACAGATTGAACATTACATTTTTAAATACAAGATCTGGAATAATGGATTTTTTTCTAATTTAACAAACGCCAATATTCAACTTATAACTTCACAATTTTGTATTTAATCCGATGTAAAAACTGAGTAAACTCTCCAAAACAAAATAGGAAAATCTTGCTGCTTCAATGTTTTATGTTAAATTAAATTATCTTTAGTCATCTCAACTTACACCGATCAAATGTCAAGTTAAGTGTATATGAATAAATTTAACTAAAGCAATATAAACACACTGTCAGATTTCAGTGTATTTCAGCTTTACTCTGACATCTACAGACACAAGTTTTCATTGTAGTTTGAGTTTTTGTTGCGCGTTTTGCTTATTTTTGGGTTCACTTTTTTAAAGATGCAACTCTGTCTGTATTTTTTATTTTTATTTTAAGTGACGTTATTTCTTGGCAGCAAGCCCAAACTAAACTTTTAGAAATATTTCATTTTATTTTTTCTTGTTTTATTTAAAAGTAGCCTATAAACGTTTATCTTTGTTATATATAATAATTATATAACTAAAATAACTCACAACAGATTTTTTTTATTACACAAACTCCATTATTCAACTTATAACTTCACAATTTCAAATTTAATCCAATGTAAAACAGATTAAAATGAAATCTACAAAACTAAATAAACAAAAATCTTGCTGCCTGAACATTTTTAGTTAAATTAAATGAACCTCAGTCATCTCAACTTGCACCAATCAAATGTTAAGTTAAACATATAAATATATGCTTAACAAATTAACGCAATATTAAAAACATGTCACATTTTTACTGTATATCAGCATTTCCACACATTTCTTCAAATGTTATTGAATTAAAATGAGCTAAAAACAAGCCATTAAAAGTTATGCAACACTTTAAGGACACATTTAACTTAATAAATTAAATATGACAATCTAAAATACAAAAACTGAACTCTTGCGCAACACACTGAAATAATCTTTACATTCAGGCCTATTTATAGCTTCAAATATTTGATCAGTCCATTATTAATTTACTTCAGAATGATTATTACTTCATCTTAACTTCATTTTACACATACGTATAAACAAACAGCAATAAAACTGTTGACTCTTGCAGATAACTTCACTTCTGACTCGACTTCACCACAAACCAAACTAGCAGCACAACCCACCCAAAAAAAAAAAAAAAAAAACTGAATGAAACTACAGCAGGAAACAAAAACACTGGAAAAATGAGCTCACGAAACATTTGGAGTCCCACCAAAGCAAAACACTCCTCATTACTGATGTTATGACTTTATAAATGCGCCGTGACCGACTGTTATTTGCTCTCTGACATATCGATTTGGCTGCACATTTCCTCACATGACTAAACTGAGCACACAACAACCTGAAGTTACATCAGATTTACGGACACGACCTGCAATCAGACTCCAGGTGTTCGGTTTTACACCTCAAACCTGCACTTAAAGGATACTAGCGCGAACTTGTGATTATATATGCGCGGTTTCAGATGATAGTAGTCGAGTGGAGGTGTGAATGACACTCTGAAGTCCCTCGATAGTGAACACTGCTGACGTGTAAAATGTTTTTCACTCTGAAGGAAACTCGAGCTCTCGTAGTAAACGCACCATTTTAACCCTTTCACATTCACACACACGCACTCTCTTTAGGTTATTATACGGAAAAAGCCGGATGTTTTATATTTATATAACCGTTAAGTTGACGTTAGGGTACATTAATGTTAAATCGAGTAGTGTTTTTAAAGATTTTAGAACACATCCTTTCTTTTTTAGACATGTGCCCCTGTTATATAGAATCAATAAACAACTGTAAACTTTCTGTATAACACAATATTCAAGTATAAAATGTTGTGCTTACCTCATTGTGTTTATGTGGGTGTCGGACTCAATGGTTTTCTGGGTTTTTTGGGTTTTCTGGGCGTTCGGGTCACTTCATCCACACAGATGTGCGAGCGTTTGCTTTGACACGATGAGTCTGACATAATAAAAAAAAGTATTTAATTGTCAAACACTGGTTGAAAAGAACAAAAACACATGTAAATAGCTAAATAAATTATCGTTTTAAGGATTAAACTCCATTTTACTACAAAATACAACTACTTAAAAGTGCGTATGAAATGTATAATTTAGTTTTTGTACACTAAAAATAGTTACAACTCAAGTGGGTCAACTACACACAAACCCAACGCTTGTGTTTTAAGTGTAATTTAAATTTACCTGGAAAAACTTAACGCAACAGCTGGACTTGTCCATATTTGAGTTAACAAAAGTTAAAACAACTAATTTAAAATACAGCCATTTTAGTTTTGAAAGTAGTACATGTAGATTTAACGTATTAATTAAACGTAGTTCGTCACAAGCACAACGCAGTTGTTATGTAGGTTTGAAAAGCTTAAAACTAATAACGTTAAACACATTCCGAGATATAGAGCATAAGCCACATCATATACACCCATACACACGTAGGCTATAAATAAACCGTTTTCGGTTTGATTTAAAATGTCAACGGTCAACATTTTAAAGTTTTTAACGGTCAAAATTCAAAGCACATACCGAGACAGGAGCTTCTTTTCCTCGGCTCTCGGAGCGTTTCGGGCGTCTCCGCGCTTTGCTCCGTTACCCTACAGTCGTGATTCCCGTTAACATCCACGTTATTGTCGTTATTATTCCCAGAGGAGGAGATGTGAATATCGGAGCCCTTCCCCCGCTCCGATCGGCTGTAGAAACCGGGCACCGAGCGAATATCCAGCGCTTCCCACTGATATCTACCGTCGGCGCGCGGCGTGTGCGTGGAAAAGTCGAAGTTCCAGGCTTCAGCCGACGCGTCCTCCATCGTCCGGAGCTGCCGCTGGAAGTCCTTCTTCAGCTCTTCATGATCCACCGGCCCGAACAGGTTTCGACATGCCGACGGCTTCGGTTGGTCAGACAGTCGCGCCTCCATCCGCTCCAGCGTCGGGCTGCCATTAGACAAGCGAACATTGGACATTTTTGAGACGAAAACACAGCTGTTACAGAGCTACTCCAACGCGATCCACAACGACGGGCCGCATGAGCGAAAAAAACATCGACAAGACGATCATCAAAACAAAAGCAGCGTTCGCGATGGCCACTCCTGTCAACTGCGAGGCGTAGACGCGTAGTAAAAAAAAAGGGGGAAGAGAAATAACAAGGCGAGGCTTTTCGGTGCCCAATATGGCGATGAAGGGGGGAAAGAGGGCGAAAAAAACGCGTGATTGACACAAAGAGCTCTTTAAAGGACGAGGGGACGGCAGGGGATTGGAGCACCGGAGATCCGCCTTCTTTGAGCGCCCATCCCCCACTAGAACAGTACATCAACAAAACACCCTCGACGAGCCTCCGCCAAATGAGTCACTTTGTTTAGTGACTCGGTTCGGTAAACGATTCCTTTCACTCGCAGCAGTTATTGAGGTAAAGTTGGTTCTTGTTTACCACGCTACATTGGCTCTGAAATCGCATTTAGTATAACTTGAAAACAACATCATCACTATTTAATTGACTGTGAACAAAGTTGTACTTTGAGAGTCAGTAACTGCTAATATGATTTCCCCATTTAGAACTGGCAAATAATATTATTCTGAAATTATATTGTTAAAAAAGTCCAAATGTGCGAATATAAAGCCAAATGTATCTTAATTCAGCAGTTCCCTATGAAGCGACCGTGCACTTAGTAATAATGTCGAATTATTGACTTTGTATATAATTGCTGTTTTATTATATGTACTCCAAAACTGTTTAAATTACTCCCAAATAGTTTTACTACAATCGAGTGATTCGGGCATCTATTGTTCCGTTGATTCGTTTAAAAGATTCGGTTCATTCGTGACGTTTCATGTCTTGTTTTGTAACTGGCTTGTAAAAAAAAAAAAAAGTGGATCTTACGCAAACGCTTAAAACTCACTGTGAAATCGAAAGTAAAAGCTTGTGAGGCAATTTTAGCCATAAGTGCAGATTTCTGCTTTCGATATTAATCAATCAAGAGAATAGGCTAAATAAACATAATCAGTTGGTGTTTCATCAGTATTTTTTTTTCTTATATGAAAACAGTTTAAAACTTAGGCTACTGAACGTATTTGTTAACAGTAACTTGTTACAAATATGTCAAATGTTGTTTTTTACATTACTCTTTTAGGTCACTTCCCAAATGCTTAGTTTTTTTTTTACAGGCGAATGATTCACAACTGAACCATTTATAAGATTCAATTCAAACAAATGATTCTTTCGCTAGTCAATTGAACGTCAAGTTGTGGTTAAAAATGATTTCAACATTTTATGTAAATCCATAAAACAAGTAAAAACAAAAGGTGCCTCAAAGCTCTCCAAACTTTTCAGCTTATATGGACTGACCCCCCCTGAATGTATTGTCTTTTCCTTTGTATTATTTAAGGTTTATTTCTGTTATTAATATTATTATGTTGTACTATTTTGTTTATTATCTACTGCTTGGATATAATGTTATATATGTTTAACAATGGAAGGTAAAAATGCCTGTTTGTTATTTGAAGGTAAAAAAAAATAAAAATAAACACTGGCAAATCCCACCCATTCAATTAAAAACAAGTTGTGGTTCAATAAAAGAACAAATCTTTTGTAAATGCTCAATTTAAAGCAAACAATACTCATATCCTAAAAGACTGTTCTAAATATTTTGAAATTAATGAAGTTTTCTGTTCAAAACATTAGCAGAACTAATGACCAATAACAACATTAAATTAAAAAATAAGGCAGAAATAAAATCTAGTGTCTTAATTAAACTGTACAGCGAAACAAACTAAATCCTAACAAGTCGTGGTGTAACTGCTGTGCTTAAAAGAAAAAAAAACTTTTTTTAAATAAAAATTTATAATAATAATTTTAAAATCTATTTATTTTGCGTACATGTTGTCAAAATCTGCAAGTATGGCTTTCCCAATGATTCATGTCAACAAAACAAATTCTCTTAGCGAATGATTCACAGATACTGCTCGATTTGGTTTAACTGAATCATTTAAAAGATCTAGTTCATTCGCATTTTGTAACAGTGTAATTGAAAAAAGAAAATCACCACATAACCAAAACGAAAAGTAATAACTTTATCAGAAAACCATTATTTAAAAGAAATAAAAAAATACACAAATTTATGCTTAAACTATTAATGAAGCATAACGAAAAGACAATAAATATATAAATGACCTAAGCTAAATAAAAATCTCAATATTGTGCTTAACATAATACTTTAATAAAAACTATTTATTGAACGTTTTAAGAACTTTAGGACATTTTAAGTCTAACACATCCAATGTGAATAAATAAAGTAAATCAACACTTACATGTGGTAAAGATGCTTAATTTCATTACCTGTGATGTGTTGGTTAGCCTCTGGTTTCTCAAGATGAATGTCAGTTTTGACACTTAAAGACAGAAATGTGGAAGTAGCAGAGCTGGACACTCAGCTGAAATTGTTCCTAGAATTGAGCTGTAATTGGCAAAAACATTTCCAGGAACAGTTTCTCGATTAAACCTCACAATCATAATGACAAGAACTGAGTGTCGCTTCACATGAGGAGGACATGAGCTCATTTACAGTCAACCCAAAACGTTCTATATTTAGGAAAGCTCAGTAAACACTTGGATGGGTTTACCCTCAATTTAACTCCATAAAATGTGATGCAGTTTGGGGCTTTTGATTATTGATGGTTTTACAGATCAACGAAACCAGAGTATTTATGGATATCTAGATAATCCGATGGTTACATTTATTTATTTAGAATATTTATATAAATATGCGACTCAGTGGTTAGCACTGTCATCTCAGAGCAAGAAGGTCCCTGGTTCGAGTCCCGGCTGGGCCAGTTGGCGTGTGGAGTTAGCATGTTCTCCCTGTTGCACCTCCAGGTGCTTCGGTTTCCCCCACAGTTCAAACACATGTGCTGTAGGGGAATTGATTAACTAAATTGGCCGCAGTGTATGAGTGTGTGTGAATGGGTGTTTCCCAGTACTGGGTTGCAGCTGAAAGGGCATCTGCTGCATAAAACATATGCTGGAATAGTTGGTGGGTCATTCCGCTGTGACGACCCTTGATGAATAAAGGGACTACACCAAAGGAAAATGAATGAATTTATTTAAATATTTAACTTATAGAAATATTTATATTTATGCACTATTTATATAATTATTATTCACATTATTTTGTACAATATTACATATTTATATATCTTATATTCAAAACGTAATGAGAATTTAATTTAAAAAATATTATTATTAACAGGTTTAAGATGAAAAGCAGTTTAATTATCATTTTTTGTCTTCCATATGTGTTTAAGAACAAAAAAATAATAATTATATATAATAACAAAAACTAATAACACTTAATAAATAGTGTATTCTAATAACCTAAAATCCTTATTCTTTGCTATTGCTCTTCAATCCAGTCAAACAAAATCTCGTTTGAGCATTAATATCCCAACGTGTGCATCTGCAATTGTCTGATTGCAGGATTAGGGTTTTATTAAATATTAAAATATAAAGATATTACATATTATTGTTTTAAAATTCTTCATACAACGATGACCATGTTATTTTACATTTGATTCATTTTCAGTACTTGAACACTATCAGACTTCCCAGAAAACCATAAAGCACTGTTTGTTTATTTATTTTTGCTTGCAGTTTATTATAATTGATGCAGATGCACTGCATAGAAAAAGACTTGCTCATCCCTGTTCATTTAAATGAATGAAATATTTCCAAATAGAGCTGTTCAAATCATCTGCTGAAATTACATTCATATCGCAATATACAGTATATCGCAGCAAAACAAAACATTGTAATGTCTTTTAAATTGTGTAGCCCTATAAATATATATATATATATATATATATATATATATATATATATATATATATATATATGTATGTATATGTTGTTTTTGGAATACATTAGTTAAGCTAAATGACAACTGAACATCATATTGTCCCATTTAAGTTGCAGTTGACGTCAAAATTAGTAGCCCCCCTGTTTATTTTTTTGCCCTAATTTCTGTTTAACAAAGAGATTTTTTCCAACACAGATTTTTTATAATCCTAATAGTTTTAATAACTCTTCTCTAATAACTGATTTATTTTATCTTTGCCATGATGACAGTAAATAATATTAGACTAGATATTCTTCAAGACACTTCTATACAGCTTAAAGTCACATTTAAAGGCTTCACTAGGTTAATTAGGTTAACTAGGCAGGTTAGGGTAATTAGGCAAGTTATTGTATAATGATGGTTTGTTCTGTAGACTATCGAAAAAAAAAATATAGCTTAAAAGGGCTAATACGGGGTTTCTGCAAGTTTCACAGAGTTAAATTTAAAACTTTAAGATATTTTTAAGAACATTATGAGTTAAATTTAGAATCGTAAAGGGCTAAAGGCTAAGGAATTCATCAAATGGTCCAGATGGAAAAGATTCTTATTTGCCATTTCAAAAAATATATATATAATTTAATACATTGTAAAATACAATAAAACACCAAATTTAACAAAGTAATATTTTAGATTTTATTTCTTAGCAAAATATTTAAAATATTGTGTAAAAACAAGCAAGCTCTACTTGTATTCATACACATTTATTCCAACATGAACTTTCTTTAAAAATAATAAATTAATTTAAAAACATAATAAACTAAATCTATGCACAACAATCTGTCCAGGACAGCAGTAAATACACGAAGAACTTTTAAACAAATGTTATTGTAATGAAAAGAAACCTTTATGATTAAACTTTTCAAATAAAAAGTTTCAAGTTTTTTTGAGATGGATTGTTGGTGATTGTATGGGTTTGGGCCAGATTGGATAGCAATACATGAACGAAAGAAAATTAAGAACTTAAGACCTACAACTTAACATTTCAGGATATTTAACACTTTTTAAGGCCTAAAATTTGGATTTTAAGATTTAAGACATTTAAAGACTTTTTAAGAGCCCACAGAAACCCTGTAATAATTTTGACCTTAAAATGATGTTTAAAAAATAAAAACTGCTTTTATTGTATCCGAAATAAAACAAATAAGACTTTCTCCAGAAGAAAAAGTATTATCAGAC